ACCAAGGCCGATCCACCGAAGGACGCCGCTCCAGTACTTCCTCAGGCTAATCCGAAGGACCACAACAAGAAGGACAAGAAGCAGGATCGTGGAAGATCAACCACGAAGAGCCCAAAAGGGGATCGTGGCAGGTCAGCGACTCCAGCAGATACGTCCAAGATAGGATGCGCCTTCCACTTCCATGGGAAAAATGGATGTTCTAGAGGAGATAAATGCAAGTTTAGTCACCAAGAGAAGCACAAAAGTTCTGCTAAGAAACCAGAAAGCCTCAAGGGTGACAGATCCAAGAGTCCTAGTGGCAGGAGCACTAGCCCTAAACCAATAAAGGATCAGGTCTGTTGGAATTGGCAGAAAGGATCGTGCAAGTTCGGGGACAAATGTCGACGCCAGCATCACGCTGCTCCTGCTACAAAACAAGAGGCTAAAGGCAAAGCCAAGCCCAAACCGGCTGCGCCAGCCTTCATGCTTTGCGGAGACATCGATAGTGATGGCGAGGACGCGCGACCCGCACTTCCCAACGTACAACGAGGTAAGCTGGCGCTTCGCTTTAAAGTCAGATTCGACGACCGGGCGAGTGTGACCACGTTTACCTGCGATCCTGGTAACGAGCTAAACACCCGTCCTCTCAGGAAGAAGAAGGATGAGGTGCAGAAGGTGGATACCGAGCTCATTTCGTCGTTGAGAGCCCTCAGAGTGAACAATATAGCTGCACGAGTAGCACATGCCAAAGGTAAGATGATGGAGCTATACTCTGCTGAACACATTGCCAAGGCATGGATACAAATCACTCAAGATGAAGGAATCGAGGTGAACGTCGATCTGTCTGACTTAAACACCAGCGAGGTAGTAAGGAGGGATTCTGTCAACTATACGATACCGGGAGACACGATGTTCATGGCTGTGGAGAGGTATGATGGACCACCGATACGCTTCATCATGGACACGGGATGTGGACACGACTTGATCTCAAGAGAGAAAGTCAATGCCATGGGCCTTACCACCAAGGAAGGACCCAAATCCGTGAGCTTCATGACAGCGAATGGTGTAACTAGTACATCAGAGATGGTGGACATCAATGTGGACGAACTACCCATGATGTCCGAGGCACACGTGTTGGAGAGCACACCATCAGTCTTTTCCATCGGGAAACGGTGCATGGAACAAGGGTACTCATTCATATGGCCGGCAAATCAATTGCCATACCTCATCGACCAGAACGCGAACAAGATTCCGCTATCGGTGCATGACAACATACCCTACATCAAGGTGAATGATGATGACGGGAGATGTTTACCAAGATCAGACGGCTTGGCTACGATACTTCATCGCATACTGTCAGGTGTGGGGCATGAAGACGAGGCCACAGCAGGTCAGGAGACACAACAAGAGGAACCTCCGCCCAAGAAACCACGGAGACGAAGGAGAAAGAAGAAGGATAACCAGAGAGATCGGGATGGTGAATCTGATATCAATCCAGCTGTTGCAGGCGCCGAAGGAGAACCAGAGGAACACGGTGATGACGGATATTCTCCTGAAGAAGAATATGACGGAGGAGATCCGAGAATCGATCGTGGTCACGAAGGTCAACCTGAAGAAGCCGAAGACGACGAACACGGAGGTGATGCGGATTCTGAACGAGAGGAGAGTGACATTGGTGAAGATGAAGAGGGACTACTGGAAGTCGACGTGGTTGACGGGGAAGCCAGACTATCAAAACCAGGAGTGCTGAAGAACGAGGCGAAATCCATATTGCACCTGATGACACACCGATACAAGAACCCATACTGCAAGTCATGTGTGAGAGCAAAGATGAAGCACTACAAGACTAGCAAGGGAGCTTTCAAACGCAAATTGAAGGCATTCGGTGACCTCATCACTTTCGATCTCATGAACACTCAGAAGATGGCGAGAGATGGGATCATGCCGGATAAGGATGTATTGGTGATTCGAGATCGGTTCACTGGTGTGATATGGGGCTATCCTTTGAAAGCAAGCAATAGTGACGAAGTGGTGCAGGCGATGAAGCATTATATCGGTAAGAGAAAGGTCACCAACGCTTACTCGGATGATGCGCCACAATTTGAAGCAGCACTCAAGGAACTCCGGATTCCACTAGACCAGTCGCTTCCAGGACACCCCCAGAACAATTCACTCGCCGAAAGAAACAATCAGTTCATGATGCTTACCACATCGACATGCCTACTAGAAGCCGGACTACCACCATGCTTTTGGCCATTTGCAGTGGAATGCGTAAGCCATTTGTTGAACATCGAGAAGCTGAGCGATGGCAGCAGTGCATGGTTGAAGTTGCACAAGAGCGAATTCCCAGGCATGGTGATACCACTCGGGGCGAAGGTGTTCTTCAAACCTAGTGATGCAAGAGAAAGAGACCAAGATCACAAGTTCGACCCCAAAAGCATACCTGGTATCTTCGCAGGGTACGTTATGGGGACCGGGATGAACTGGTCGAGGAAATACAAAGTATGGGCTATAAGCGACTTCGCTCAACAGAATCTAGGTTATGATGCCGAGAGACCGTTGAGGAAACTGATTACTCCTCACATCACCGAGAAGATCTTCCAGGACGACGGAATAGAATTCCCTTTGAAGAAAGAGTACGAGAGGTTGAACAGCACTCTCGAAGGAATGAAAGTCCTGAAGGAGAGAGCCGGTTCTCCAGATGCACCTACCAATCCCGAGTTACCCGATCCCGACGACAGTGACGACCAAGGCGGTGACGATGATGCGCCTGATCCACCAGATGGGGATCTGAAGTCAAGAACTAGCGAGATTGACGCGATCGAGGATGAGAAGACGGAGGAGCTCGCAGAGAAGAAGAAAGAGGACTACTCCGGTCCCGATCACTACTCCGTTGGGGGGCCGGGTGATAACATCATCTACTTGAACAACGACGGCGAACACGTCAAGATCGCAAAGGACGGTCGT